GGTAAAAAATTTTCAACAAATTCTTATAGAAACATCCATCATGCACGTATTGTTGAAACTAGACACTACTAGTTGTTTAGTCTCACATCACTTAGAAGCTTTATGTTGTATTGTTTATATACATTTTCTTGTATTCACGAGTTAAAAGCTCACATGGGGTGATGGCATCATGTGGGTATGGCTAACTAGCATTTAATATATAATATTGTAAATATTTTTGGAATTATATTATTAATTAAAATCTATCATATTTAAATTAATTTAATATTTAAATATACAAATTTTAAAACTCTAAAAAATGCCAAAATTTTCCGAAGTCCAAAATTTTATTAAAACTTTGTAAAAGATTATTTCATTTCCCCCCTCCATTTAAGTATAAGGTTTCGTTTGGGATGACTTTTTAATTATTTCTTAAAACAAAGTTTTAGTACATAAATTAAATTTTTTGTATTAAATTTGTTTTAAAAAATAAAAAAAAATTGTCCCAAACAAAGCCTAAATACACCCAATAGAAGAAGAGGATAAGATTCACAATAAAGCCTGTAATCCCTGCAACAGGGCTCCGATCTTCTCTAAAACAAGAATGACTATCTCACTATCTCTATTTGGATGTGTTGAAGCTGAGGTTCCAAGGTTTTAGATTCCTATAGGCCAAGTTCCAGTTCTCCTTTAAAAAGAGGATTACTGAAGTTATAAGGGTCAGGTCTTTTCCTTAATTTGTAGAACATGTAATTATAAAGCTAAAAATAATTATTTAGGCTAGGTTTGGGACGTCTTTCTTCCTGTTTCTTAAAACGATTTTCTAGTACAAAAATTAAAATTTAGGACTGCAGGAAAAGTGATGAATGGTGGAGACCATCACAAATGTATGTCATGTAACAATTGTATGTTAGAGGTTTGGTGACTAAATTCAACCAAAGAAATTCATGTGATAAGGTGTGTGACACTATGACTTTTAGATTCAGAGTTCTGTTCAAATCGGTCTAATCAGATTAGAAGTCAGGTAACATGTTATATTTTTGCATTTGAACTCTTTTGCTCATGTACGATAGTGTTCCATGCGCATGTGAAGGTTTGTATGTGTTCTATAGTAGAGTTCAGGGATTTAAATGCTGTGTTTTTGGCTATTTGGTGTTGAAGTCTTAAAAAATGAGCATTTAATTCAACGCTTTGGCGTGCAGCGTGGAAGGCGGTGTTGTAAATTCCATAGGGAGCATTGTGGCTAATGCCGTGGGGTGCCGCGGTGCTATAGTAATTTTTAATATTAAAAATATTCCAATTCACTATTCAAACCCCAATTGAATATTTTGGTGGCCAGCCTAGTGAGTGATAGAGAGGGATTTTATAGAGAGAAAGTTTGATTGAGCTGTTTCATGCCATTTTTAGTCCTCAGCCCAATTCTAAAAGTTGCTCCGATAGAGGTAGGTTACATTTTGTCTATCTAAAATTTCAATATTTTGGTATTTTTTGGATTTTCCAATTGATTTTTGGTTTTACAATTATGCAATTTTATTGGATTTTGATAACTTTTGTCCATGTAAATTTTGATATGTTATCTGTAGGACTATTCTGATTGTTTTGAGTATTTATTTTAAATTTTCTGTCGGTTGAATTTGAAAAATAATATTTTTTATCAATTTAGAAATTTATTTTAACTCTAAAAATAATTTTTTTGTTCAGTTAAAACTTCAGAATGTTGTTATACACAATATGTGATAATTTAGTTATTTTCTAAAAAACCCCTATTGAGCAAGATTTTTTGTTGCCTTGCGTTAATGCATATATATATATATCAGGCACGAATCTCGATGCAAATTAAGTTGGAAACTTCCAAAATTAAAATTGGGACCATCCAAACTCCGATTTCAACAAAATTATTGTCGAACTGAGCGTCTTGAGAATACAAACGCAATGACACCAAATCCAACCCAATCCAAGCCCAAACAGGTCCAAATCAAGGGTTAAAATCTTTGTTGAAAGGTTCGAACCACAATTTGGATTGCTAAATAGTTTTCAAACATAACGTGCTTATAGTCGAATCGAGCAGCTCGACGAGAAAAATCCAACAAGCCCAAGATCACTGAAATCTAACATCACTAAGACATTCAAATGCTCATCAAACGATTCATGATCAAGGGATTCAGCATCGGCCGTCCATCCAACCACTCCCCATTTACCCTTGATCTCTTACTTATTTAAAGCCATGTCACTCCAAAAATCTTTAAATAGACCCCTCATTTCTCTTGAAAAGTGACCAAAACAAGAGGAGAAGAAAAGAAGAGAAGGGAGAGAAGGAAGAAGCTCCACCTCGACCACCGCCTGAGTTTCGTCAGACCACCACTCGAGGCCCTCACTCTCGCCAGACCACCACTTGAGGTCCTCACCTTCACCGAACCACCACTTGAGGTCCTCACCTTCACCGGACCACCACTTAAGGCCCTCACCTTCGCTGGACCACCACTCGAGACCCTCACTCTCGCTGGACCACCACTCGAGGCCCTCACCTTCGCCGGACTACCACTAGAGGCCCTCACCTTTCTCGGACCACCACTCAAGGCCCTCACTCTCGCCAGACCACCACTCGAGGCCCCTCTAGTAGGACCACCACTTGAGACCCTCACCTTTGCCGGACCACCACTCGAGGCCCTCACCTGCGTCAGACCACCATTCGAGGCCCTCATCTTCGCCGAAACACCACTCGAGGCCCTCATCTTCGCCAGACCACCACTGGAGGCCCTCACTTTTGCTGGACCACCACTGGAGGCCCTCACCTTATCTGAACCACTACTCGAGGCCCTCACCTTCGTCGGACTACTACATGAGGCCCTCACCCTCGCAGACCACCACTTGAGGCCCTCACATTCGCTAGACCACCACCTAAGGTCCTAAACTCCGCCAGACCATCACTTGAGGCCCTAAACTCGCCTAGACCATCAACTGATACCAGAATTCTGCCAAGTCACTGCCAGACTACTAACTGACGCCCTAACTTCCAAGTGATACCATATTTAACACTAGATTTCAACCATATGGTTGATATTTGTAATCTGATCGCTCTCAAAGACAAGTCAGCCCACTATACTCAACTCAAATTCTAGTGAATTCCTTTCAACTGGGCTAGGCCCTGTGGTTTTTCCCCTTTCTAGGGTTTTCCAAGTAAAAAAATCTTGTGCTCTCTGTGTGTGAGTTGGATATCCGTACAACGATAAGACGCAGAATTACAAATCTATCGCCGCATATATTCTAGCCTGCAACATATATAAAATAGTGTTTATGCATTTTGGAAAATTTTAAATTGGGTCACTTTATTTAATATAATACATTTAAATATGCAAATATCGAATGAAATATGAAAATCTGTTCGCATAGAGAAAAAATTCTGTTAACTATTAAATATGAAAATTGGCAGCGAGAAGGAAATATGGATAACAAGAATTTTCTATTCCCCGTCGATTAGAACAAACTAGCTTACAATGTATAAAATACTAACTCGCCTCCCTATGGATGCAGTAGAGATTGATAGAGAGAGAGAATAAACCATGATGATATGGTCAAGAGATGAGTAACTCTTCTTAGATACAATAGGTAGGGGTAATAATAGTCGAACAATGATAAAGTGATGATAAGTAGTAGATGATGGTTGAGAAATTATAGTCAAGTGATGATAATTAACTGATGACAATTAGGAGAAGACGATCAAACAAAAATAATTGGCTTAAGATGATCAGATGATGATGCTTAAAAAGTTATGAGAGGCTTCGGAATTCCTTAGATATCTAAACTCTCTTAAACTTCATATCCCTCTCAAGTGAAAAACGCAGTCTATTTATAATTTATTGGAGTGGCATATTTAACAAAAATGCTCAAACACTCTATTGGACGATTTCTATTGATTTCTTTGATCATAGGCCATCTTTGAACATTTCAGTGCTTGAATGACATTGAAATTAAATGGTATTGATATCGTTAGATTCCTCCTCAAGTCAAGATACTAGTTTTGATTGTAAGCATGAAGATTCAAAGATCGTTCGATCCCTTGACGTGTCAAGAAGTTTATAATTGTACTTTAAGTACTTATTTGGATGCGGATCAAAACAATTTTGCTGTCACAAACCCATCTCTTTGAAATAATTATTACGACAATTAACTTCTTGTAATCAGAGTTTGAATGATCCTAAAATTAATTTTGAAAAAAATAAATAGACCTGATGAATTTTCTTATGATATATCAATATTAATGCCTTTGCACATCAAATTTGTCACAAAAGAACTCCTAATTCTTGTTGAGATTAATTTTTCCTAAAAAATATAATTTGCTGAAATGATATTATCAACAAGGTGTGATGAGTAAAGCTAGGCTACTTTGATGGATAATGAAAGATAAAATAGATTTCAATATTTTTTATAGTAATTTCTTAAATTTATTACAGAGACATCTTAATGAAGACAAAAATTATTATTGAATAGAGATAATTAAAAATAATAATAATATTAGCCGAGTCACTACCAGCAACTCTTAGTTTTTTTTTAATTTAAGCAAATTTAATTGCAAATCTCACATGTTTATGCAAAATTTCAATTTCATGACGTCTCAATTGGAAGTTTGACTTTCGACTAATAAACTAAAGTTTCGTTTGGGACGGCTTTTTTACTGCTTCTTAAAGTAGGATTTTAATACAAAAATTTTTTTTTTTGTACTAAAAACTGTATTAAGAAGCAGCAAGAAAGCCTTCCAAAACGAAACCTAAGAAGAGTTTCATCTCTAAAAAATGTTCAACTAAGGGGATATTTGGTTTGTTGAGCAATGAATACAAAGTAAATTATAATATAATATAAATAGAATATAATGTATTAGAAATATTTTGAGTTGTTTGGATGACTATAGATGATTACTTTTTTGTGTGGCTTGAACTAAAGTTAATGTAGCGTAAAGCTCAACAAATGGTATTTGTCAGTGGCAGAGGACAATAACCTGTGATAGTAATGCACAGACGGGAGCAGTAATAACAGTCTTCTTGTCAGGCTAAGTAAGCTTAGTGATGCCATTCTTTCAATCTCTCCTCTTTTCAGCCTTTTGAGCACGCTTCACTGAAGCAAATTACACCATTTAAGTGCCAAGAACTACTCTATTGGTTTCTTTGTTCCTCTGTTGAAGCTCTGGATTCGACCAATTTTCGGAGTATATGGACTAGGGTTTGTCTCTGTGATCTATCTTCTTTTGCCTTCTTGCCATTGCTTGAGACCTTAAACCCTCAATTTTTACCCTTTTTTGTAGTTTGGAATATGCGGTACTGAAACGGTGGGTTTTCTTGCAGTGGACTGGAGGAAGAAGCTTTTTGGTATTTTCTTGTCTACATAAGAGTACTTTTTCTCCGGATCTGGTTGGTGTGTAGGTCAAGGTTGGTGTTATGAGATGGCAACTGATGTGGATCGAAGCTGCTACGGTTGGTCACGCGAGGATTTGGATGACCAGGACGACTCTAGGGTATGCCGGTTTTTTTTTGGTTGGATGGACTGTCGGTTTTCATTTTCATTTTTATTTTTGAAGAGTTGTTCTTTTTTCCCCCTTTGCTTGGTTTAGGTAAATATTATCTGGTATTCCTGAGTTTGGTACTGTTCTTGGTTATAACTATAATTGCTGTTGCTTATCTGAGATCTCGTGCTTGAGTCTATGGAAAGTAGATGCTAGGGCTTTGGGCCGAGTCATATATTAATAATTTCAAAGCGGATTATTAAATGCTAAGCTATTTAGCAATTTAATAATTACAGCTAAAACTATCTTTTGGACGGATATAACAAAAGACCATTATGGTCTCTTGATCATATGAGTAGATTCATCTATATTGTGCAAGTTAATTCGTCAAGATAAAAGGTAGTAGTGATGGATTTAAATCTAAGTCAACCACCATGCAAATGAGTCTCATCCAAAAAGAGAAATGGAACATGCTACCAACCACACCCAAGAGCACATAATCTTTCTCTACTTTTGGTTAGTTTTTCTCCTTAGTCCTATTTACTAGGTGGGACCCTGATCCTCAGAGTATGTTAGTATCATTTCTGCCTACTTAAAAGCTTTTGATGCTACATCTATCTTTGATAAGTTCTACCATATAGACAAGGGGCCAAGTCAATGTTAATTTCCGTTGAATCGATCGGTCAAGATGCTTAAAATATAATTCATAGTAAATGATCAATTATACTCTTGCATGATATTCGACGGCTTCTATTGTTATTGCTCTTGCTTGTCACTAGCCACCTTAAAAGTTGGGATTGGAATTGATTTTGCATTTGACACTTTTGAGCCTTTTTTTTCCCTTTACTAATATGATTAAGGAATAAAGATTGAGTTTACTCCTAGATTATTCACATGGTCTTTTAACCATCGAGTTTTCTAGGGTTTATTAACCTAGTTTTGAGAGGATTAATCCAAAACTCTAGATCTTGTTAATTTTGTAGCAATAAGAAAGATTGAAGTTGATGAAGTTAAGCTATAGATAGTTGGTTGGCCATTTTTCTTTCACATCCTTGTTGGCACTATGTGTGTCTAGAATTTTAGATGCTCTGATAGAGGGAGTGTTTATGGAAGTTCTTTCATATGTTACCTTAAGAAGTGCCAATTTTAGTGGAGAAAATACTAGTTTAATGGATTTCATTTGAGCTTAGAACTTGAATCTCCATAAATGGGTGTCAAACTGTCCAGTCTTTATGTGGAAATTCCAAAAGATCTTTGGAATGTTATACCATAGCTAAGTTTTGGGTCATTTTCTTTCATCATGCTAAGATCTCTAGGTAATTGAGGGCTTGAACACATAGATGAGGTGGGCCCTAGAGTGAAAGCCCATTCTCTTGAGCTCTGAAACTCCTCGACTTTGGTCAAGCAAAAGATGTTCAATCTTTTTCAAGTATAGTGCAAGAGAAACTTGATCGGCCACCTTAAATTTGACATTTATCACACTTGGTAGGATAGCCCTCTTTTCTTTCCCAGCATGCAATTAGATAGGATCTCATCTATGGTTTTTTTATATGAACTCTAAATCCAAGATGTACACACTTTTGAAAGATGAAAACTCATCACTCACTTTTGATAGAGGGGAAAGAAATGACCAATTGAAGGCCCAAAGGCTAGAATATGGTAGGCTCTTTACACCCCATGATCAATCTCAAGATTCAAGGGTTGGTTCAACTCAATGATCTTTGATTTCAACCCTTACTTCCACTCTTGTGAACAAAGCATTTGTCATTCCCAAGAATATTATGATCAAGGAAGCTTGACGATCTTGGGCTCGTTGGATTCGTCTCGTCGAGCCGCTTGATTCAACTATAAGCGTGTCACGTTTGGAAACCGTTTGGTAATCCAAATTGTAGTTTGAACCTTCCAAAAGTGCTTCGAGTCTTTGAATTTTGGACCCAGTTGAGCTTGGATTGAGTCTAATTTGGTGTTGTTGGGTTTGTATTTTGAGACTATCAATTCAACTATAAGTTTGCTGAAATCAGAGTTCCGATGATCCCAATTTTAATTTCGGAAGTTTCCAACTTGATTTTGCCTCAAGATTCGTGCATGATCAGAATGATTTTTTTTTACGTATCAATAAGAAAAGAAGCTTAATAGCCTTTTACTCCCATTCTCTGTAGATAGAATAGAAGTCCCATTTATTACTTGTAGGAGATTGAATTATGTAGAATGTAATAATTTTCAGAAGTTTTTATAGCCAAACTCAAATCTAATGGTTCTTTGAAGTTGCTTTTTTTAGAAATACTGTTGATATTTTGTTATTATGCCAAGTAGTTTCTAAGAATAAATTTGAATAATGGATACACAAGATACAGACAAGATAAGACATTAGGAATGTGGAATGACAAATCATAATGCAGACTGAAAATTTAGAAACATGATTATCTATAAGTTTGTGTTAGGCAGCCCCTCTTGGGCCGGTTGAACCCATTGAACCGGTCTCTAGTGGACCGGTTTATGTCTACAGGCATTGGCCCAAGGAGCTGGGAGGAAGCCGGGAAGGGAGAGAGAGAGGGCCGGCTAGTCATATGGGGCCCACATGCTAATTAAATATTGCTTTGGAGGAAATATTTGAGTTAGGGGCTGTTTAGGGAATTTGTAATTTTCCTTTTGGCTTTAATTAGTTTCTCTTGGGAGGGTTAGGGTTTCATCTTGAATTTGAATCTAAATTTGGGATTTCCTTGGTGTGCTTGGGCTCTACTCTCTTGGCTAGATATTTGGAGGGTTGTTTCTTCCTCTTGAATTGAAGAAACTTGTATCGTGTGCTGATTTGTCTCTTTCGTTAGCGAAATCCACTGTTTTTCTCTCAATTTCTCTACAGTTTTTCTCAATTTTACTGTGTTATTGCTGTTTTTAAAACAGCAGTTTACTGCTTGGAGATGATTGTGTTCTATCAGTTTGTATGTATGCTCACAAAGTTAAATGCAGTAGTATGAATAAAATTTAATATATTTGATTGTATTTCCAAGCATAAAACCTAGGAATAATTCTACCGAAGTGATGTTGTTAAGAGAAATTGTTTAGTAATGGATAATTAAAGTGAGGAAATCTATATAAGTTTTCTTTGTAAAATTACTTGGTTGGAGTAGTAGAGGTTGTATCTAATTTTATAAAAAATTATTAGACATTGTGCCCAAGTGCCAAGCGGTGTTCAATAAAATCAAAAATTTTTTTGCTAGAAAATAACTTATTATACATCCAATTAGCATGTAGAACACAAATTCGTAGATTTTCTGAGTTTTAAATGTGCTATATCGTTGCTCCGCATGACTTGGTGGCCCTTTGGATGTACCTTTGCTCCATTGTTTAAATATCAGCAACGATTTTTTTATGATGGATTCAAATATTCATATGTTGGGCTTCACTAGGACAGGGCCCTGTCTTTTTTGGTGACTTTGTATTTGTATTCTTTGGCTTATAGTTGTTGTGGCAGAGCAATTTTTGTGTGTTACTTGATTTTGAAATCTCTTATCCTCTTTTGACAGTTTATTTAAGGCAAATTTCTTGTGTTCTGAGCATGACTAGAATATGCTAATTGCCTTGTTCTTCTTTCAGGAAATTTCAATTTCCCAAATGCTTGATCATGGTTCCATATCCTTTGGAAGATTTGCTCTCGAGCCATTATCATGGGAAAAGAGATCAGTGTTTACTCATAACAGGTATCAAGAGGAGCTCGAGAAATGTAAGGCCCCAGGTTTGGTTGCACAAAAGAAGGCGTACTTTGAAGAATACTACAAGAGAATTCGAACTATGAAAACTTTGCAGGAAAACCAACACACTGAGCCTGAATCAAATTGTGGCCACAATAATGGTGTTTCTGAAAAGATCAGAGAAGATGAGAGAGCTGTACCAAGCAAGAGTGATGTGGAGGAAATGCTAAAGACTGTTGCTCCTGGTGTAGAGAAAGCTACAACTGAAGTATCCTTGGATGTTGATGGTGAAACTGCATTAGTGAAACTTGATTCACCTGCAAATCTCTCAAAAGAAAATAAAAATGGTGAAAGCCCTCCAAATTCGAAGCATTGGCAAATCTCGGACATAAATTCATATCATCATGAACCTATCAGAACAAGTATTGCGGATAGTGAGCTGCATGAATTTATAAGAGATGAGAAGAAACTAGAGCCACGGGGAATTATATCAGGAAGCATCTCACAACAGATTGGAGTAGAAAATCAGAGAGTTATAGGAAAGAAGAGTCATGGGGATGAATTAGATTATGTTATTGGTTCTGATAGAGAAAATGCTTCAATTGAAGTACCCTTGAGTATAGATGTTGAAACTGTGTTACTTGAAACTGATCCACCCGTTAATTCTTCTGACGATGAGAAAATGGGTGAAAACTCTCAAAATTCTAAGCAGTTTCAATTATTGGATCAAAATTCATGTAATCATGAACCTATCACAGCAAGCATTGAAGATTGCAAGCAGCAAGACTTCATAAGCCAAGCTAATGAAGTGATTTCAAAGGAAACGGAAAATTTTGTTCCAAATGATTCTTTTTATTCTTCAAGTTCACATAAAGTTTTGAAGGATAAGCTGAACGCAGAAGAAAAAAAGGTTAACCAATCTGTTAAGTGGTTTAAGAGCAATGCATTTTCTTCTGAAATTATGATATGCTCAATTTGTTTCCTTTTTTTTCCAATTGATGTTTGCCAACATAGCTGTTTTAGAATTAGCTCATTTTTTTTTTCTAAACAACTTTTTTAGAAAGTGTCCTTATGAGAACATTTTCTTTGATTTGATTAGATATTTATTGATGTGGAATTGTCACACCACTAAGTGTGTGGATCACCTAGCTAGCTGCAAGTTAATTTTAAACAATCTTGGCTTACAGGTGACTAGCTTAGATTGGTTGAAGCTAATATTCCTGATAATGTTGCATGCTGGCATGAATTTTGGCGTGGCTTATTATTGAGAATTGTTTTGTGCCAACAAATTTTTAAATAGCTTGTCAATAGACGCGTTGCTTTTGATATTTGTACTTGTATTTACCTTGCTTGGGTCATTCTTGATTCTTTTAATGTAGAGTTTTGTTTTTAAATGATCACATCTGCACAGTGACTTGTAAGCTTGCTATGCCTGAATTATCTAGTTCAATTATCTGAACTTAATTTTGCTTTCTTGTCCTTTAAATTAATTTTGCACCTTGGTACCGACCTAACTTTAGGTTCTCCCAGTTATAACTTGTTCTGTTTAGAAGCCAATTGTAAAAGTTGAATAACTTGGAATGTTTATAACATTTTTTGGCAGTTAATGCATCGTTCTTAATTGTTCTTTCCTAATTTAGTCCATTTTGGTTGATGGAACCTACCAAATTTCAATTTATTGTTATACAATGGAAATATAAAATCTGGGAAGATGTTACTAATTTTAACGGACTTCTGAAATTTTACTTAGGAGTAATCTGACTGCAAGATATTAATTGTTAAAATGCAAATGTTATGATAAGTGTTATTTTAAAATGTAAATATCATGACTTAATAAATTGATATTTTTTGGATTAGTTGAGCCCTGTGATAGGAAGTACTTGTATCACACGACTTCCTAGCCAAAATCAGTAAAATTCCAACAGTAAAACTGCTGTCCACAGCGACAAAACAGCAAGAAATAGGAAGAAAATGAGAGAAAACACAAGTAGGGACTTGTATTCCACTAGAAGCAGAGCAAAATAATCAAGATACAATTGTTCTTCGATCCGAGAGGAAGAACATAATCTCCACAATCTCCGGCAATGCCAAGAGCCCAAAACAAAACCTATATCTCAAATTAAATTTCAAAATTCAAGATGAGGAACCAATTTCCCCCCAATCTCCTAATTATACAAATTAATCATAAAGGACAATAATGGACTTCTTAAAACAGCCCCTCATTCAAAATTCTCCCTCCAACAATGCATTTTTGCCCATGCTTGGGCCCACCGAAATCCCGCTCCCCTCTCTGTTCTCCGCCTGGTTTCGCCCGGCTTTGAGCTGCCGGGTGTAGAACCGGACCGGTCTAGCTGGGACCGGTCCATGCGTAACATTACTCCCCTCCCAAAAACTTACCTTGTCCTCAAGGTGAAAGGAGGGGAATTGCTCTTTCACTCTTTCAAATGGCTCCCAAGTCGCGCGTTGAACTCAGGGAGGTCCTTCCATTGAATCAACACTTGTTGCCTTCTTGATCTGATCTTACCCCCATAAGCTCTAGGGGTTCTAACGTCAGTTCCTAATCCTCCGTCATTGTTGCTGGTAATTCGGCGCTAACTGCGTGCTCCCCCAGGGCTCTCCTCAGCTGTGACACATGGAACACCGAATGTATAGTAGCGGAGGGGGGTAACTTCAGACGATACGCTACTGCTCCAACCTTCCCCAAGATCTCATAGGGGCCAAAATATCTCGAGGACAGTTTCTCGTTCCTCCTGCTAGCCACTGATCTCTGTCTGTAGGGTCTTAGCTTCAAAAACACTTTCTCCACCACTTCATATTGTATGTCTCTTCTGTGTGTATCTGCTCGCTTCTTCATTATTTGTTGTGCCCTCTCCAGATGTTTCTTTAACTCTTCCAACACCTTGTCTCTCTCCTCTAAGTACTGTTCGACTAAAGAGACAGATGTGTTTCCCTTCCCATAATGTACTAAGTGTGGGGGGTCTCTTCCATAGAGCACCTTGAACGGAGTCATTTGGGATGTTGAATGGTACGAAGTGTTATACCAGTACTCCTCCCACGACAACCATTTAGCCCATTTCCTGGGTGTTTCAGAGGCAAAACACCTCAAATATGTCTCCAAACTCCGGTTAACCACTTATGTCTGTCCATCTGTCTGTGGGTGGTACGCGGTGCTCCTCTTGAGAATTGTGCACTGCATTCTGAACAGTTCTATCCAAAACTGACTGAGGAACACTTTGTCTCTGTCCGACACAATAGATTCTGGAATTCTGTGTAATCGAACCACTTCCCTAATAAATGTTACCGCCACTGACACTGCGGTGTAAGGGTGTCGCAGGAGGACGAAATGGGCATACTTACTGAGGCGGTCCACCATTACCAAAATGACTGTGAATCCCTCTGAGCGAGGTAGGCCGTCAATGAAGTCCATGGACACTTCCTCCCAAACTTTGTTTTGAAGCTCCAAGGGTTGGAGTAGCCCTCCTGGTGCCATCGCCATATATTTATTTTTTTGGCACACCTCACACCTTGCCACCAGCTTTTCCACATCTTTATGCATGCCCTTCCAATAGAGCTCCGCTGCTAGCCTCCTATATGTCTTTTGAACTCCTGAATGGTCTCCAACTGCACTGCCATGGAACTCCTGCAACAGGTGGGGGATATGTACGGAAGTTCGTGGCATCACAAACCTCCCTTGATACAATAATCTCTCCCCCTTGATGCAGTAGCCCGGATGGCTACTCTTGTCTTTCTGCAGATCCTCCCTGATCTTTCCCAATTCTTCATCTAGCCTGCTTTCTTCCTTGATGGCCCCCCAATCGACCATCAATTGTACCGACAGAGCTAGCTCTTGGAGCTCCCCAACACATCTGGATAGGGCGTCAGCTGCTTTATTTTCCAAACCATGCTTGTCCTGGATCTCGAAGTCGTAGCCCAACAGTTTGGAGAGCCACCGCTGATGCTCCTCAGTCACCATCCTTTGCTCCAGTAGATACTTTAAACTCCTTTGATCAGTCCGGACAATGAAATGTCGCCCCAAAAGGTAGGGACGCCACTTCTGAATAGCCAAGACAATCTCCATCAGCTCTCTCTCGTACACTGACTTCAGTCTTGCCCTGGTTGATAGCACTTGACTAAAGTATGCTACAGGCCTGTGGTTCTGCATCAACACTGCTCCCAACCCATATCCTGAAGCGTCGGTCTCTACTACAAAGACCTGACCAAAGTCTGGAAGAGCTAGGACAAGAACAGTCGTCATGGCTTCCTTTAACCTCTCGAATGCCTGGGTGGCTGCCTCTCCCCAGCAAAAATTGTCCTTCTTCAGCTGCTCAGTCAAAGGCCAGGCAATGGTACTGTATCCCTTCACAAACTTCCTGTAGTATCCAGTCAATCATAGAAAACCCCTCAATTCTATGAGGTTCCTAAGTAGCGGCCATTTCTACATTGCCTCAATTTTAATTTGGTCCGCTGCCCCTCCTTGAGATACCACATGTATTCCACGCTTGCCTGAGCAAAACTGCACTTCTTCAAGTGGGCTTTCAACTGGTGCTCCTGAAGCACTTCCAATACCACACTTAAATGTTCCAAGTGCTCCTCCACAGTCTTGCTGTACACCAGGATGTCATCAAAAAAGATCAGGATAAACTTCCTGAGGTGCTGCTTGAATAACTGATTCATCAAGGATTGGAAGGTTGCTGGAGCATTAGTGAGCCCAAATGGTATCACTAAGAACTCATAGTGCCCCTCGTGTGTTCTGAACGCTGTCTTATGAATGTCCCCTTCATTCTAATTTGATGGTAGCCCGATTTAAGATCCATCTTTGAAAACATCACTGCTCCATGCAGCTCCCTCGACGGTAGAACTCATTCCTTCTCCCAAAAATTTTCGCACCTCTTCTTTCATAGCCCATGCTCATCTCCTCCCTAGAAAGTGGTTCTAGCGGAGGCATTCCGTCATTCCCGTCAAGGATCTCCACTTCCGTAGTGTCCCTCCCCCTCAATGGTTTCGGGTTCCCGTATCTCCCATTGTCTCCGGTGGTTTCCCTTGCTTCCGATGTCGTTGGCTTGCCCTCCAACATCTTCTTCATCATTTCCTCCAAGGCCTGAACCTCCCATCCATCTTTTAATGGATGGATACGAATTGATTTTGAAATTCGGCAGTTCTTTCTTCCAAATCGGTCTTCAGTTGGCCGATTTCTCCCTCCAGAACTTCTACCTTCCTTCCGACCATCTTTTCTCCCACGGTTGTCGAGAATTCCTCTTGCGGACGACGATTCCTTGCTGAAATTTCAGAATTTCAGCCGCCGATGGTCCCAAGACGATGCTCTGATACCAATTTGATAGGAAGTACTTGTATCACAAGACTTCCTAGCCAAAATCAGTAAAATTCCAACAGTAAAACTGCTGTCCACAGCGATAAAACTGCAAGAAATAGGAAGAAAATGAGAGAAAACACAAGTAGGGACTTGTATTCCACTAGAAGCAAAGCAAAATAATCAAGATACAATTGTCTTCGATCCAAGAGGAAGAACGTACTCTCCACAATCTCCGGCGATGCCAAGAGCCCAAAGCAAAACCTAGATCTCAAATTAAATTTCAAAATTCAAGATGAGGAGCCAATTTTCCCCCAATCTCCTAATTATACAAATTAATCATAAAGGACAATAATGGACTTCCTAAAACAGCCCCTCATTCAAAATTCTCCCTCCAACAATGCGTTTTTGCCCATGCTTGGGCCCACCGAAATCCTGCTCCCCTCTCTGTTCTCCGCCTGGTTCCCGCCCGGCTTTGAGCCGCCGCGTGTAGAACCGGACCGGTCCCAGCGGGACCGGTCCAGGTGTAACACCCTGATTGTCTTGTTGAGCAAAGGAGTTTGAAGTTTTGTAGCTTATTTTTCGTGAAATCATATTCATAATTTTCTGTTGTAGATGTTGACCACCCATGTGCAACTAGGTGAAAAAAATAAGAATCATGATGTGATTTTCCCCTGGGTCTTTTGAAATTTGAATGCAAAAAGTCTTTAGCATAAGTTGGGGTGTCTCTATGAAGCCATTTAACACATTAACTTATGAGGCAAGAACAAACTAACATATGAAACTTTAAGTTCTGACATTTAATGAAGTAAACCCAGTGTGTATGGAACTCCAGGGACTTAGAATATCTGATTTAACGAGCAATTTCTCCAGAAGTAAATCCAGAGCTTATTGCACTCCAGAACTTAGAATAGCTTATTTAACTGGTATTGCCATTCTTTTCATGTTTTATGAGCAATTTCTCCTCTGGATGAATATGCTCCGAGGTTACATAATCAGAAGGTTTCTAGTCTGCTTAAGCATTATTCCTAAGTGTTACTGTTTTAAACCGAGGGAACAATGCTGAGGATAAATTTTTCTTTCAAATTGCAGAATCTTGCTCAGCTTTGAAAAATAGTTGTTGATGACCAAATGATCACCAATTTGGCTGCTGAGGCATATGACTGCTTCTACTTCTAATACTGGATATTAGTTTATTTTGTTATCTTATTTTGCTATCAGGAACATTCCAATGTCGCTGGAGGTTTTGTTAATTCAGAACTCAAATCCAAATCAGTAATGGTTACGTTGACACAAGTTTTGAGAGATTCTTCTCAAAAGAGAAATGGAAAGAAGAATGTCTGTATTGTTTCACATAAACAAACTGTTGATAGAATTTCAAGCAGCAAACATGCTACAGTTGCTTCACATGAATCAAACAAGAAAATGCATTCAAAGATTACAACTCCTCGCCCATTTTCTTTCGCAACTGGAAAGCAAGCTGTTGTTTCTATCAGTGCTTCAGCAAGATATGATGCTAAAAACATAATGTCTTCATCACCACTTCCTCATAAGAATACCAATTCAAAGGTTTGGTTTCTTGCAGCAGTAGTATTTATTGATCTCATCTATGCCATTTCCTGCTCATGTTGTATCTGCAAGTTTTACAAAGGCATGTATAATTATGTTAATTCGGTCCAAACTCCTTTAGTTCTTAAAAGTTTCCCATTTTATGTGTCCTTCATTTTCAAGATGAGGTCGGAACTCCTAATTTTGCATTTAGGAGAGGTTTTTCCTTACATTTATTATTTTATATGCAGTTAATTGTATGAACTTTGAAAAGAAACTTCAGAACAAGCTTTAGATGTGCTATTGTAGGGTGTTTTTATTCCTTGTTTGATTTCCTTGCTGCTATAATTCGTTTGTGGAGTTCATTTGTTACTTTTTAGGAGGCGTATCTTAATGCTTTTGTTAAAGGATAATATTGATAATCCACTTTGTCTAATTTGATACAAACAGGCTGTTTCAAGTAGACCAGGCATACCATACAGCCAGAAGAGGGGGAAACTGGAAAGCAGGTGATTTTTTTCTGTTAGTTTAAGGAGCATATTAAATGTTGCTTTCTTTCTTATCCATATTTTGGTTTAATATTGTAGCGGGCATGAACCTAGAAGACAACCTCTAGTCACCAGTGGACAAGCAATCCACCTCAAGGGAGCAAGTGCAAACAATGTGATTAGACCACCAAAAGCGAGGTGGGTGACCTTTTATTAACTTGTCTGCTTCATTTTTTGAATTTTCTCTCCAACAAGCGAATCTCTCTGCTAGAAGTACATGTTAACGGTAAATATAATTATGTCATGTTCTTGCTATTTAGAGGAGTCCAAAATTATTTTGCTGCAAATTTTGTGCATGGCATTACATTTTCTATACTATTAAAAGCCTTCTCTCTGTGGTTTTTCAGATCTGTAAACCTTCCCACGAGCTGTAAAGGTGGTAAAAATGTTGGAACCAACTCTAATAGGTACAGAAGGAACAATGAAGATGGAAAACAGAAGGTAATAGACGTAGTTTGTACCTCTTTTTGCCATTAACTAATGTTATTAGGATTATGCAACCTGCATAGGATAGTTTTGTTGCGTCCCTAACGAGTTTGTTTGAGAATATCTACAGATTTTCTAAATCTCTAATGCACTTTGAGGGAAACATAATAATGGTTTTAATCTTTATAATGTCTTTTCTCGGTGGACTAAGAGAATTTCTTTGAAAACCTTCGTTAAACATTAACCTGTGAACCTTCTGCTGATTTCTGAATTAAACTTTTCAGGCTAATGATGAAACATGTTTGAAGGAAGTTCGAGCACAGGGAAAATCCACTATTTTCTCTGTGATCTCCAGAAACCAGAACCCTGATAATATAAAGGTTAGAATAATGTTAACAATATCTTCTTTCTTTATCCATTTGCTTGAGAGCCCTGTTGTTCACGAAGAAATTAAAAAAAAAAAAGAAAAAAGAGAAGAGGTTGTAATTAGTGCATGAGGCTTCAGCATCAATGCAGACTATGAGCTGTTGATTTATGCAGCTTATTCCTGTTTTGTAGGAGAAATTATTAGGTGCGGAGCTTGAATGTAGAGATACGTGTAGACATCTACTTAAAATTTGACACGTGGAGTACACTTTGGTTGCGTTTTCTTTGTGCGCTTTACTGTGCTTTAGTTGTATTTTAGTTACGCTTTGATTGCTCTTTTGTTGCGTTTTTTTACTGCGCTTTACCTATGCTTTGACTGTGCTTTACCCGCGCTTTGGCTGCATTTTTGGTGCGCTTAGCTTAAATTTCCGCGAACACATTAAATATACAAAGTAAAAAATAAATCCAATTGAATATCCACGTGTCCACTCAACATGTTAACATTTTAATGTAGTCCAGACGTACCTCTACGTCCAGACTCTGCACCTAATAATTTCTCCTATTGTAGAGGCTATTTTCATAGTTGAACCCCGTAACTTCTATATTATAAAATAGGCAACTAATCATTGCAAGAACCTATTGATCATATTGCACTGAACTTTGATTTGAAAAATGAAAGAATTGTTATCTTCTATGTTAAATTCCTACAGATGGCTCGATCAAGGATCAAGGATCTGTTGTCAGTGAATACGAAGAATTCACAGCTCGGTGATAATTCACTAGTCGGGAGGAAGCCCAGGTAAGTGAAGGCTTTCTCAACATTTGCATTTGCTCCTTCGCTTCCATAGAAAGACCCTCAAGTTAATTTGGGTACAGGCCGGAGAAGCCCCGCTGGCGTTAAACTGGTACGAGCTTCAGCCATTGCAGTGCTGGAAGTGATGACTAATCACAACGGTCGATTTTGCATGTAAATATCATTCTATCATTTACAGTATAGTTATGTTTTCTTAGTTCCCATTATCATATTAGCAAGAAAATGTAGTTTTGGTAGAAATGTAGTTCAGATATCTTAATCGCTTGGTATCTTTTCAAGCCATAAACATGCCATTTATGTAACTTCTCTGCCACACATGTACTAGCATGATCGATATGAAATTATGAAGAAAGAGCAGCAAAAAATTTTCCACTCTTAGTAGGGTTGTTGATCTCTTAATGCTCTAATTTTTTGTTAATTTGATCGGTTGGATTCATTGATTAGATAATCAAGATTTCATTTGAAATATCTTTCTTATTATTTTTTAAAGCAATTTTTTAATTTAAAACAGTTTTTTAATACAAAAATTTTTTACTTTTGATTTGGATGAGCAATACGGTAAAATCTGAGCAACTTTGATAGCAGTTTTGTATGATCCCCAATTGTACTGACCAAATTATTATCGTATAGACGGCAAATGAACTAATTGTGATAGCAATCCTATAGTTCGAATAAACGCAGATGTTTTTTAGGATTTTGAGAAGAATTGTATTAATCATATTGTATAATTTGACCGTAATACTTAATAAATAGTAACTTTTTATAATTTTTTATTAACTAATAATATAAAAAGGATAAAGAAAAAATTGAAGAGATATTCATTGACTCTTTGAAACGTTATGATTAGTAGTGTCAATTTGGGTTAACGGGTCGTGTTCGGGTCAAATTTGGAATTGACACGGCACTGTTCGGGTCAATCCGAACTCGATCCGTTTTTAAAAATGGGTCAGCTTTTCGGAATCGAACCTGACCCGATTCGTGATCAGGTTAACTCGACCCGACACGAATGATTCGAAGTTGACCTAAAATTGCTAGTTTTCGGGTAAAAAATTGGGTCAATCTTCGATTTTTGGGTCAAAATCGGATCAAAAAAGGGTCAATCTCCGGTTTTCGAGTCAAATAGGAGTTTTTGTGTCATTTTCGGGTTGTTGTGTCAACTCGAACCCGACCCGATTTTTAAAACGGTTTGATTTGTTGATCCCGAACTTGACTCGTTTTGGGTCTGGGTTGACCCTAACTCGGATTTTTTGAGTCGTGTCAAAAATTGACACCCCTAGTTATGTAGTCACAAATTTTGAGAAAAAAAATTTTAAGTAACATCTCTCTTCCTCGAAGCATTCAAATGTTTTTGAATGATTGTGTGAGGTTTCACTTTGTGGTTATTCTCAAATTATATTCTTATGATCCTCTTATTTAAGATGACAATGTTTTAAAATCAATAATTTTAAAAAATAAAGAAATTAATTAAATATTGAAAATAAAAATTAAATATAATCAAAGTCATTTATTTAATGGGTGAATCATTGCTAACTCAGTTGGGACAAATCGTTTAACGGGTGATTTGCTACAGTAACACATATTTTTAGTTTTTTTAATATTCAATTAATTTATTTATTTTTGAAATGTATCTATTTTAAAATTTTGCTTGTTCTATTTTCATATAAGAGATTCATTATTTCATATTAAGATTTTTAAATATTATTGGAGATTAGAGTTATTCCATGCAAAGATTAATTAAAGAGAAGTAGTTTAGGGTTTAGTTATGGTGTGTGAAGAAGAGGGCAAATTATTGCGTCCGGTGTCTGGATTCGTCCGGACATCAATCCAGAAGCACCACGTCAGCAAAATATACCGGAGCCCATTATATTTGGATGACATGGTGCATATGGATTGATTGTCCGGACGTCAGGTGACCGGACGCAATAATTCGCCGAAGAAGAGAGACTTCTCTATCATATTAGGAGGAGAAAGATGAAATAATATTGGAATGCTTGAGTACAGAATTTGGAGAGTGGATGTAGGTTTGCAGGTCAAATCACTCACATTTCTTTTTTTTTTTTGTCTTTTTTAAAATTTCTTTTTATATTTTATTTTTATTATAATAATATGTTATCTATGTAATGGAGGCTCACGAATTTTCAGAAATAATAACAAGTAATTATTTGATTAAAAAAGTGCAATATAAATGTCAAATATTTTATATTTAAATATTTAAATATTAATATATTTTATATTATCACTCTTTAAATAAAAAGCTCCAAAATAAATAAATTCAATTGAGACTAACTCAAATTGAATTTATTAGCTCGTGAGATTCAGCGCATAAGCCGTGTGCCTCAATTATATTATGAGATATTATTACGTGCGGAGTTTTGATGGGAGAACCGTCTAGATCTATGTGTTACACGACAAGTACGCAATAAAAAATAAAATTATATATTTATTATATATCATCACAGAATTCTGATGATTCTTCCGTGCTGTCAATATTTACACCTCAAAAAGTATAAATCGATGCTCATAATTTCTTGGGTGAGGGCATTGAATTTATTAGATCGTCATGCCTCAATTATGAGAAATTATTATGTGCGGTATTCGAATGGGAGAATCATAATAATTCTATAAAAATACATAATGAATACATAACAAAAAATAAAATTATATATTTATTAAATGCCCTAATAAAATTTGGATGATGTAATAATCTCTCTTCAATTACACCTCAACAAGTATAAATAGATGCCCATAATTTCTTGGGTGAGGGCATTGCAGTAATTCGACTCCAGAAGGTTCGTCCGACCAATATTTAATCCTCGACATAAGGAGAGAGGTTGTTCGGAAGTTTAGCCCTAGCTAGCCATAAGAGAGAGAGGTCGCGTGGAAGAAACACGTCTTTTGACACGTTGAGAAATACTAATGGCGTCATTCTCGGAAGCCCCGCCAGGCGATCCAAAGGCCGGAGAGAAGATCTTCAAGACCAAGTGCGCGCAGTGCCACACGGTGGAGAAAGGAGCAGGACACAAGCAAGGTGTGGTTCTTTTCCGATCTGCGGGCTCATGTTTTTTTATTTGATTTTTCTTCATGAAACTCTTTCTGTAAAGCTTGTCCTTGATTTGCTGCTTCGGAATGCCTTTTCATTGATTTGGTGTACTTTCTCACGATATTGCTCTAAAGTTCGAGATCTCCATTTGTCATTTGTCAATTCGTGATTTTTTTCTCTTGCTGTTTTTCCTCTCCCTTTTCGGTTAAAGGACGTGTTTAGGGCCATTTGCTCTTCGTTTTTATCACTCCTTCGTAAGAATATTTATGGGGTTTTTTTGGTTAAATACAGTGATCCCTTGTCGCATTTGGTCATTTATGGTCTGGATCAACTTTATGTTGCCAGCTTAACTGGTTGATATTGTGGATAGGCTTAACCGATTGGGTTCTTTTAATATAGGATTTCCTCCAGTTGGTGTTAGAGTATTAAGGCTCGGTTTTGTTCAATTGATTACTTCACACTGTTGGAAATATGCGGGGATACGATTGCATGAAAATGAACAAATAAATTGTTTAAATATGAAAAATTAATAATAAAGAATAAATATATGAAGGTGTACAATCTTCAGATGGTGTCCATTCGTGTGTGATTTGCGATTGCTCCTCCTACCAAGGTTCAATTGAGGCTCATTCATCGATTCTATCATACCACAAACTTGTAGAGTATTTTGTAAAAACTACTCCTGTAGAGCCAAAAATAATATGGAAGTATATGAAGATAACAAAAGAGAATAATGTTTTGATATAGTAAAAAACTTATTGTGTGTGTTAAGCTGAACATAAAGTTTCTTATTTGGGGAGAAATTGGAAAAAAAAAGATTGAGCTATTCTTACTATCATGCGCAGGATAATATTCAAAGTGCATGCATGATAAGTAATTCCCCTTCTTGAGTGAAGAAAGAATGCTATCCTTTGAGAAATTTCAAGAAACGTGCTACTTGCCTATGTCCATGCAATAAGTAAAGCTTGGATCATTTCCACCATAGGGGGTTAATTTTGTTTTAATCGAGTTGAATAAAAAATAAAAACATCAATCCCCTACCTGATATTAACATTTTGTATCAGTATGGGTTCAATATTTTGTACATGCTCGGTAGATTGATGTACTTTCCACATTTAGTAATGATTTTATTAGATCAAAGATACTTGATGGATTTAAATGCCCTTAACAAAGGACTTCTAATTGATGCTTTGCAATCATCACACAACAGGAGTGTATTGTACTTAAAATGTGTAATGTATCTATTAATGACCGTTCATTGTGCTTATTATCATTAGAGCTATTAAGCACTTAAATCAAATACCATAAATGCTGTCTCACCACTACTCTCATGTAGGTGAATATTGAAGGGTCTCAATGATAATGCAAACCTGTTAAAGTTCCACAATGGGCTTATTAAAAGTTGAGCTTAACCTGACTAGCATGCTAAATAGAGTGTAGCGCAATATGGATGGATGAGCCAAACTCATCATTTACAGCATCAGCCAATTTTGTTTATATCCTTTAAACCTATTGGTCAAAGGATCACAAAGGTAGGGGTCCATTGCTAGTGGTCGTTATCTGTGATTAAAGTTAAATCCATCTCCTTATTGGTGTTAGCATCACTGTATTTGATGGACCATTGGTCCATTTGTTTTTCTTAGTACATCTTCAAAAATCATGTGATGAAGTTTTGGGTATTTAATGGCCTTTGGTTTACTAATCCTAATTTATTGGTCTGATCTACATTTGTTGCATCATTTTTTGTGATTTCCATGGCAAGATACTTCTGTGATTTTTGTAAAAGGATTCAAATCTATTGTTTCTTGTACCGAGCATAACTTTCTGTGGGTTATTTGGTGGTTTGACCAAGAATTATGATTTTTACTCCATGAATTAAATAACTCACTTGAGCGGATCCACCATCAAATGTGATCATCTTTTGGAGAGTGGGAATTATAAATTAATGATCTTGAACGGTGTAGTGAATGCTTTTTGATTCAATTGAAATTTTTTATTCCAGTTGCAATCTTGTGTGCATGTTAGATGTATGATTCTTTTGAATGTGGTGCATGTGAGACTACCTAATTTCTTGGAATGTTATCTACTCGTATTTGTGTGAGACATGAATCTTCTACACTAGGCTGATATCTTTTTGTTACTTATTGTCTTTTTATTATTTTGGTTTTGGTAATGCATGGGTCTTAATTTTGGTTGAATTGGTGATAATTAGATGGCAATGTAAAATTCAATTGCTTGATGTTTTTTTGTTGTTCAAATGTATTGTTGATTTTTGGAGTAAAGTGATTGTTGCATCATAGTTTTGGTTCAAATTCATGTATAATTTGTTTTGCAAATAATGATTAATGGCCTCTGATTTATGTGATCCACATTCATTGCATGATCATAGTTGTATTAGAAAACCTTTAACTCTAAACTATCCTACAAAACTAGCTCAACATCACATTGTGCTCCACGGTCTCGAAACCTACCTTAGGAGCATATAATCCTTTGCATAATTCTAAGAGTATGATAACTCCTAAACACATTTAGGGTGCATCCTCTAGTACTAAATGCAGATTTTGAATCCATTCTAAAGATTGACATGGCCAACAAATAAAAAGATTGGTATGGCCAACAAAGCACTAGCCATAAGTGAATTTGGGGAGTCTAGTGCTATCCACTTTTTACCATAGCAAAATGTCAGAACTTATACCATCTTGTTCCATATTCTCCCTTAGTGCAATCCAAAATGGATTTGTTGACCAATCCATGCCACTTTTGTGCTTCCAATTTGGATTTTTTGACCAACCCACTTTTTTTTGTGCTTCTAACTTGGATTTGTTGAAAAACACAAACCCGTTTTTTTTTGTGCTTCTTATATATTCAAATAAAACGGGAATCTGATTTTGCACCAATTATCCGCTCCCTTCAGTGGAACTTTGTCCAATGTCCAGTGGTTACAAAATCTGATTTTTTTTCCTCACCAGCCTTGCAAGCTCAGTTGTGAACTCCTTTGAATTCAGTATCTCTATTAGATTGCCATTCCCTGAGAAGATGATGGACTTCACTAATTTCATGAAAAGAAAGTATTACACAAACTAAACTTGAAATTCGCTTAGATAAAAGAAATGTTCTAGGGGCTATTTGGTTCCAAGTTTTTAAAATTCAGAATATTTTAAATAGTGTGTACTAATTGTGTATTTGATCTACGTAGAGTTGTTTGGTTGAGAGTAAAATAAATGCAATAGATTTTTTTTTTTTTTTTGTATTTGGTTTAAAAATTGAACTAAGTGTAAAATCTAGCAGTGGTAGGTGGAATTTGGTGGAGACTGCGATCGACTAGCAAAGCCTCACTTATGCGGTCCCAAATTGGCGAATTTTAAATATATTATAAATGAATTAACTGGGGAATTCAAATTCCTTTGAATATTATTTTGCATTTGTTTTACTTTTAACCGAGCACCAAAAATCTCAAGACCTATGCATTTATTTTATAATACACCCATGATACTTGAAACCGAACAATCCCTTAAAAAGGCCACCAGCCTCTTAACATCAAGCCAATTAGGATCTGTTGGCACTCCTTTACCCGGCTGAAATTCATTGAAATAGTGAGGATCCCTTTGCTCAAGTCTATTAAAAGCTTTGTCAAATTTGATAGTAGCATCCTATATAAGTAGAATTTCATTTCGTTGATACATCAGGGAAAGAAACTTTGAATTTTCTCTAACTCAGCATTTTTTGAAATTATGCAATCTTGATGGAGATTTTTTGACATACTGATTTGGAGATAAGATCTAATTAGTGATAATTAAATTGTCTAAGATCATGTTTTAGGTATCAAATCATGAAATCAGTGAATGTTTGTATTTTTTGAAATTTTAATAATCCAATTTCTTGATGGATTCTATTCATTGTGTTATTTTTAGATCACACTGTTATCAAAGTGGACTTTGCTAAGATTCCTTAGATGAGATCATCTTTCCAATGAGTCATTATAAGGAGATGGAAGGCCTAGACGTTGGGCAATTTTAGCAAACTAAGCTAATGACAGGGTAAGGGAGAATTAAAAATCATGTTTGTATGAGCTTGTTTTGAATTTTTTCAGCAGTAGAATAATTTCTGGTGGATTGGGCCTTATATAATTTATTATTGTAGATAGGGCTTTTTGTTTTTGTAGAATTTGTTTAGGAGTAGATTAAATTTTATCCTATGCCGTAATTACCTATTGAAATGCCAATTGGCCACAATGAAAGCAAGCAGAAATTTCTCTCAAAGCTCATATTTTCCTTCTCATTCTTCTCCAGCTGAAGCCCTTCACTCCATCCCTCGTTTTCTGTTACCGTAGCCAAAGGCTTTCAATGCCTGCTGTCCATTTCCTCTGCTGTTGCCTGCTGTCCATTACTATTTCTTCTTCTGTTGGCTGCTGTCTACTGCTATTCACTCGCTGTTTACTTGCTGTTCGCTGCTTCTGCTATTTATTTGCTGTATGTTGATGTCGCCTCTGTTTTTCTTGAGGTTTTATGGTCCAAAGTTGATGACATTGCAATCTAAAAGGTGTCCAGCTGAACCAAGTATTAGAGTTAATTCAAGTACAGGAATAATGGAAAATTATAGACTATAGTGTTGTTTTGAAGTCATCTTGTTCTAAAACAACATTTTTTTTTATGTCCAGTTGAGGAAAACTTTAAATCAGAGAGAGAAAACTCTCTACAATATGAAAACTCAATTAAGAGATTATTCTACGGTTCAAGTTGATATTAGAGTGCTGATATTTGTTTGATTCATGGTACAAACATAGAAGTGATATAAAGAGGTGGATAAACACTTGTTGTCTTAGAGTTGTATCAAAAACCAATAAACAGATGGAAGCAAGAACATCAACAACAACAATAAAGCCAATTAACGGTCAACAATGATTCTATAGCAAATCTAGCTTATCAAGTGATTAGAGTATTGAAACATATGGCAACCATGATGGAGTGGATAAGGATGCAAACAATCACCGCTATGATTACTGGGCTAAGTCTTGTTCCTCCTCTTCCTATGTTAGATGTAAACATATTTGAAGAGAATGAAGATGAGGATATGACTACCACTCATAATTGATGTAATCATTCAAAATAGAAGCAAAGGTGGAGATTCCTGCATATGATGGGATGGATGATGCCAAGAAGCTAGATGCAAAGACCAACCAGTTGAAATCTTCACTTTATGGCCCATGACATGGTTGCCTTCGCACAATTGAAGTTAAGCCATTATGTCATGATATAGTGGTGTACCCATTTTGAAGATGAATGACCATCAAAGGGTGACTTGGGAGGTCTCTAAGAAACTAATATGTCGGAAATTCTACCTAGTTGTGGTATATAAAAGATTGGTGGAAGAATTGACACTGTTTGAAGTAATGCTAAAGGTAGTTTGTGAAGGAGTATACCATAGAGTTCCATCACAGTCTTATTGGGAATAAATTTTAGTGAGGTACAAACACTGATGAACCATACTTTAGAGTTTCATTTTCAAATTGCAAATAAACTCTGACTTTTCCTGATTGCTTATGTTAACCAATGAATATGATGATAGTGACCATAAAGCAAAAATAAATTAATACCCAAGAACAATTCGAAAATATATATCTTTCTTCAAAAGAGGGAAAAGATGAACGACAATGGTCCTTTTCTTGTACAAGATTAATGCCCTTGCTAGGTCTATGATCATTGCTAGATACGGGATCATATCAAAGAAAAATATTGGAAGTTACACTCTAAACTCTATATTGAAAGAGTAGAAGAAAGATGGTAAAGAAAAATAGCTGCTATTATGGTGGGACAACATTGTGCTTAGTTCATTGGACAAGGTAGATCTATGTTTTCTCTAACGACAACGCTTAAGGATATAATTGTGTAGTCATCTTTCAATGTGGACACATGAGAGGAGTTATTTTTCATCAAGGATATAGGTCAAGCAAGAGGTTATCAGTGCAAGCATCAACACAACTAGAAAAATTTCATTTCTGCTACATTGATGTGAAAATTAGAGCTGGATGCTATAACCCATCCTAATCCTTACCTTTTGGATTGGATTTAGAAGGGACCTAAGAAGAAAATTGATTGCTAGTATCATTCGAAGTTTGCAATAGCAAGAATTACATTGATGAGATGGTATTTGAGGAGGATTCACTTGACATTTGTAAGTCATCTTTGACAACTCTTACCTTCATAATATGTATGCGAATGCTACATCTATAATCTTATTAGTGTCATTTCACCAAGGAAGGAAAAATCTTTCTACTTAAAAAGAGTAGGTCATATATGGCAGGCAAAATAACAACAAGGCTAGTAGGTATATTTATTAATTTAGGTCAAAATTTTCTGTTGGAGTTGGTTTTTCCTTGTTGAATAAGAAAGAAGTCATGCTTTCTTTATTTTAGGCAAAGGTCATATGCACTGTATAATTTAATTGACTAATAAGTACAACACATCTATGGCATCATTGCTGAATCTGTTGATGTACCAAAACCCAACTGCCATGATTGACTTGACCAAAATGAAGGTGATTAAAGTTTGGTCAAGATTGAGTAAAAGACATAGTATCTCTAGCCAACCAAAGCCTTCGTGAAGGAAGAAAATCACATCCTCCAAAAGAGAATCAGACTAGAGTTTTCAAAAGTGAAGCCTTCATTGCTGAAGAAGGAAGATTAAGAACCACCCTCTTGCCAATTCAAGCAAAAAAATTGATTAGAATTCAATGCCTCATCAATTTTTGTAGGTTGAAAAGAGGCGGCATTATTGTAAAATCAAGTCAAACTAAATAACACAAGTTGGACTGGACTTTGGATAATTGCAGGAGGTTTATTAACAAAGAAATGCTACTGAAGCTGCATGAATCAAGAAGTTCTTGAAAAAAAATTATGAGATTTCTTAGAATCTTTTTGAATGGCCTATTGACAAACACAATAAAATGGAGCCTTCTGCCATATGAAGTTATGATTTCAGAAGGGTGAAATCCTCTTAAATGTAGTACTGGTGATTGAATCAAATAGGTGATTAATCAAATCGTATGATCATGATTTGAATATTAGATCATTGAAATATCAAATGGATCAGAACTTTAATTATTTGATTTCTTGATGGAAACTATTGATGGTGGTGTTCTTATATCACACCATTAAGTTCAAAGTGGATGCTGCTAAGAGTCTATAGGCATGATCAGATTGTTAATCAAACATCATATAGGGAAAACCAAGTCCATAAGTTGGATTATTTAGAACCTTAATGTTTTGGCCATCTGAAATCAAGGGATTATAAATTAATAAATAAATAAAGTGATGCCAATTTGCCCTAAAGGTCTGCCTGATCTAAGTCAACTCCCCTGATTTTAGATTGTTTTTTGTGTTCACTTTCCATTTTTCCATAGATTTGTTCGTAACATGAAAGTTTTATATTGTTTTTACTGAAACTGTGTATACGATTGCTGAATCCTCCATTTAAGGTTGAAATTTAGACCATTTAAAAACGTCAATTTAAATTCAATAACTGAAGCTGAATGCGAAGTATAAATTTGGTTAGGCACTCCACACATCGTCTGAATGTGCCTGTTGTTCGGCCTCACAATGCACTGCTCATTTTGGGACGATCACAGGTTGGCAGCTGTTCAGCCGACATGTCCAAGATTGGCTGCTTTACCGGCTGCACTTTTTTAGATGATTCCGGATAGCAAGGCATGGCTGTGGCCTCGTAGATAAAGCTAGACCATTAAACCATACACTGCTGAACTAAATTGCTTAAATTTTCATAATAGTACTGTAGCTGAGGTAGAATCTTTAATCCTTGTATGTTTCTATTCTGTTATGTTACTCTTAAACAGTGTATTTAAAATCGGATCTGGCCGGCCGGTTCGACCATGAATAGATTCAGTTGCCAGTCCGGAGAAGTTGAAAAATCAAATTTGTATTGAACTGGTTTGAACTGCCGGTTCGACTAGTAATTGGTCAAACCGGCTTCGGTTTGGTTGAACCAGCCAGTACGATAAATAATTTTTTTAATTTAAATAAAAATTTTAATATTAAATTTTATGTAATTAATTTAAATATATTTTTAAAATCATATGCTTATGTAAATAAATTTAATTAGAATATAAAACTGCTAGCTTGTCACATCGTGCAACTTGATTTTTTGTTTGTGATTTGTGCTTTACATTTTAAAATTCCTCTTATGATGCGTGACTAAAACTTAATGAGAATTTTACATGTGCTTGAAATATCAAATATTCAAATTGCTTGAAATGCAAATTTGGGTTAAAAATGCATATAATTTATTGAAGTTAGAAACATAATTTTTTTATATTATAAAATTTGTATATTGTATTAACATATAATTATATTTGTAATATATATACATATAATTATATTTTCAATATATATATGTTAAAATTTTAGTATTTATTACATCATCTGGTTCAACCCTGGTTCGACTCTGATTAAACCATCAAACCATGAACCTCTCCTTTTTATTGTTCGTTTTCACAACCTTGCTTTTAAAAGTTATTAAAAGATCAAATAAAACAGGTAGCTGATCAGTTTGGCAAATGTTGTTTTTAAGTTTATTGAACTTTCTCTAGTTTTAAATCCAGCTCTCATTGGTTGTGTACTGTATATGTTACTTATGTTTCTTATTCTTGTTTATATTAACATTTGATATGTAACATTCTGCGGTAGAGGACAGTCTAAATTTCTAGATTTGTATCTTTAGGGCCAAATTTGAATGGCCTGTTTGGACGGCAATCTGGTACTACCTCTGGATATTCTTACTCGACAGCAAACAAGAATAAGGCTGTGATTTGGGAGGAGTCTACTTTATATGAATATTTGCTTAATCCTAAGAAGGTACTATCATTAGCATTTGATTTTCTTGAAGGAGGAATGTTAGTGGTTATTATGCTCCTCTTGGCATTCAATAGCTCTGTTTACTTAATCACATTTTTTTTAATCTTTTTTAATCAATTTATAGCATATCTTTCCTTATGATATTTTGTGTTCCTCGTTATTTTGAGTTTTAGGTTTCAGGATTTCAGTATACAAGTATAATTTTATGTTTTGAAGGTTAAAGGGGCTGTCAAAATTTTTGTGGTCATTATGCAATAATTTTAATTTTTCTTATAGTTTTTTTATTTAAGATTAATATTTTTTTGTGCACTTAATTGCGGTGAGACCCCCAATGCTTTATGGTGTAGAATGCTTTCCATTAAAAGAGAAACATAAAATTAAGTTGAGTGTTGTGGAGATGAGGATGCTCGGGTGGATGATTTGCTTCACTCTTATAGACAGAATGCAAAATGAGTATATATGTGAAAAGGTTGGAGTAGCTCTAGTGGCATATAAGATTAGAGAGAATAACCTTAGATGGTTTGGTCACATAAGATAACAGCCTTCTGATAACTCGGTTAGGAGAGTAGATGTATTAGATTATACCTATATTAAGGTAGGGGTAGACTTAAAAAGACTTGGTTAGAAAATATTATAGAAAATATTAGAAATGACATTTTTTTATTAGATTAAATGAGAATTTGACTCTTACTAGGACACAATGGAGAAAAAAAGATTCATGTAGTTGACCCCACGTAGTAGGATAAAGGCTTGATGTTGTTGTATTATGTTGTCCACCATGTAGTTTTGAAAAAATTATATATTAGCACTAAGAGAGAAAAAAATAGAAAACTTTATAACTCATGACTTTGTATTACATATTTATAAAGAAAGAAATATATATTTAAAATTATTTTTTGAAGTAAGGCAATGTAGCATTTTTTTTTATGTAATCTGTCGTTAGATGCATAAATCACATGAATAGCTCCATTTAGAGGTGTAAACGAGACGAGTCGAGCTCGAGTCACCTTTGGTTCGAGCTTGAGCTTCATTAATTAATTGAGTTCGAGCTTGAGCTCGAGCTTGAGCTTTATTCTACTAGTTCGAGCGGCTCGTTTATTATGAAATAGAGAAAATGATTATGATTTATAATAAATAATAACTTAATATAAGAACTTTTGATCATAATTTTTAAATATTTTTAACAACTTTTTATTTAAAATTCAAAATTATAATATATTTTAAGTATAATTTATATTTATATTTTTTAAATGATCCGGCTTATGAGCTTACAAGTCGAGTCGGGGCTAGCTCAAGCTCGATTCTTTAGGCTCACGAGCCATTTATCTAGTTGAGTCCAAACTGGCTCACGAGTCGGCTTGACTCATTTAAACCCCTAGTTCCATGGATTACTATTACTTACATATTAAGCATCTTAGAAGCTGCATGGCTTAATAAGATTCATATTGCATTTGATTAAATTACTTGTTTATCTTTCTTAAGGTTTCATTTGAGACGGTTTCCTTATTACTTCTTAAAGTTGCCTTATTTCTTAAAGTTGCTTTAAGAAGAATAAGAAAGCCATTCCAAATGAAGCCTAAGGCTTAGTTTGGGATGACTTTCTTTCTGCTTTTAAAGCAATTTTTTAGTATAAAAATTAATTATTTTGTACCTTTCTCTCTGCGATACCTTTACTTGAACTGGAAGGTTGGATGCGACCAAAAAGAAAAACTATATGATCTACGGAGTAACCGATTGAACAAAAGACAATGTCTGTATCTCCAAAGCCGCTTGACTTGCTTAGTAATTTCAGAGTGCGAGCTAATAGAATATGACTCTTATCAAAGCAACCTGCCCAAGAAGCAAGGTGCGTAGCAAAGAATTTATCCACTAAAAAAACTAGCCTACCACGAGTCCATGACCTGAACCGCCTACTGTGCCTGATATTCCTCTACCAATCTCTTCTGAAGCCGATCACGTGATTGGATACTACAACAACGACAAGTTTCAAATCTTAGGGGAAAATCAAAGCCATCCATTACAATTCTTGATGTAGGGTTGGGTTTGAATTTCCTAGGAAGTTAATTGGACTTATTTTAGAGTTAATTGGGCTGATTAGGGTCAAATTTGAGTCCGAATTGAACTCAATTTGACTAAATTCAAGTAGATTTGGGTTTAACTTGGTTTGATTGTGTCAATTTGATAAAATTGAACCCAAATCGACGTTGATTTGACTCAAATTAGGCTTGACGAGAGCCAATCAACTCGATCAAACATGCTCAAAGGGAAAGCATTTGAAAGTTGAGGTCAACTGCTTAATTAAGGATGTGTGTGGAGTCTGGACGACATCCAGACTCCAATAGGAAAGGGCCATGGCACTATACACAATGTGTGTTTTAATACACACTATGTACAAAGTTGTACACAATGTGTGTATTGGCGACGTGACTGCCTTCATTAGAGTTTGGACGCGAGCTACGTCTGGACTTCACACGTAATAATTTTTCCTATTTGCGATAATTTTTTGGCCGCTTTGTTTTTTCAGATAATAATCATAGTTTTATTTGGCTACTATTTTTTTTGTTGCTCTTTTACTACAATAACAACATCAAGCCTTTGTCCCACTATGTGGGGTCGGCTACATGAATATTTTTTTTCCATTTTGTCCGTTAAAAGTCAAATTCTTGTTTAAATCTATTAAAGAAAGATCATTTCTAATATTTTATAACAAAGTTTTTTAGGTCTACCTCTACCTTTCTTAACATAAAACAAATTTAATACCTTTACTTTCCTAACCAGGTCATCGGAAAGCTGCCGTTTTATGTGACCAAATCATCTAAGGCGACTCTCTCTAATCTTATCTTCCAGTGGAGCTGCTCCAACCTTTTCACCTATATACTCATTTCGTATCCTGTCTCTAAGGTAAAGCCACTCATCCACCAGAGCATCCTCATATCTGCAAAACTTAACTTAGTATTATGCTTTTCTTTTAATGGCCAACAATCGGCACCATAAAGTATTGTAGGTCTCACCACCATCTTATAGAATTTTCCCCTTACGTTTGAGGGTGACTTTTCTATCACACAACAAACTTGATGCATTCCTCCACTTCAATCATCCAACTTAAATTCTGTTGATAATATCCCTACCTATTTCACTATCACTTTGAACAATAGATCCAAGATATCTAAATGTGTGCTCTTATTAATGACTTGATCGCTCAAAGTCACAATCCCCTCACTAGATATCAAGCCTTTGTTGTTCTTTTACTACTTTTCATAAATTTTTTTATAAGGAAAACCTGCTTTCTTCAACCATAGTATCAAAATTATTTTATAAAATATTGTTGTCTCAGACAAACTCTAAGTGAATTAACAACAGAATAAAAAGAAATGAGTCAGTCCTTGGATTGCAGGAAAGACTTGATGTATCAGCCCCACTAATGCAATTTGAGAGAGAGAGAGAGAGAGAGAGAGAGAGAGAGAGAGAGAGAGAGAGAGCAGAGTGACTATGTTATTTTATGCTTCCACATAGAGTAACTCTCAAGATTAGTAGTAAGCTATATGAAAACTTCACAATATAAGGCATAATTATGGCTTGAAAGGAATCTTGATCTTAATTAGCAACTTTATGAAGAATGTTACTTCTGAATCTCTTGTAATGATACTTGGAAGATGACCCAAAATGTTATAGTTAAAGCATGTAAAAGCAATGTCGGAATTGAAGCTCCGTTTGACTTCGTTTGAAATAGCTTTCTTACTGTTTTCTAAGCATGCAAATCTCCTCAAGTTGGTGAAAATTTATTTCCAAGTCAGCTCTCAGTACTGAGACATTGAATCACTTGAGGGACTCATGAAGTTGTACATCAATCAGAGATATAAGTCTAAGGTAATACATTAAGTTTTCATTTGGGACGGCTTTCTTACTGCTTCTTAAAGTAAATTTTTAGTATAAAATAAAAAATTTTGTATTACAAAGTTGATTTAGAAAGTTGAAAGAAGACCGTCCCAAACAAAATCTAACTCTTTTGGAGCACTCTCGAGTTGATTATAACTATGTCAATATAAATATGTTAATATAAATAGAATTACAACAGTATAAAAGTTGCTTAAAAGTGATTTGAGTTGAGCTCCATAATTGAGTTTCCTTTATGTAGGTATCACTTTTACAAACATTATATGCGGGGGCGTTGCTAGAAATATTTATCAATGGGGGATAAAAATTATTGAATTCTAAAATACTATTGAGCATAGTGAAATAATATTGATCTTTCAGGAGTATTAATAGTTGTTTTTTTTTAAAAATTATATTCTATTAATTGCCTTATAAAAAATATATAATTATCTTATTTCTTTTTAGATATTTAGGTGTTAGTTTTTTATAAAAAAGAAATTTACATGCATTTTTTTCTTTATATATATATGTCTTGGAATATTCATGACAGTAGAGAAATATAGCTTTTAATGTCTTGACTTTGTATGAATATCCAACATACAAACAGATGAAAGATAGATGTATATCGTTCATAAGAGACAATGATATTTTTATGTGAAAAACTTTGAAAAGGAGAAAAACCACGGGACTTGGCCCAGTTTGGAAATATAGCTTTTAATGTCTTGACTTTGTATGAATATCCAACATACAAACAGATGAAAGATAGATGTATATCGTTCATAAGAGAATGATATTTTTATGTGAAAAACTTTGAAAAGGAGAAAAACCACGGGACTTGGCCCAGTTTGAATGAATTCACTAATGTTTTTAGTTGATTAAAAATGAGGCCCTCCTTAGGGGGAAAGCCTTGGCTCAATGTAGCAATATACATCATATAGAGTGCATTATATGGTGGGAGTTAAAAGAATCAATGTTGATATGTTCACTTGGTTGGCAGGGTCATAGTCGCAAGCAATGTAGATTGAAAGGACTGTAGTAGAGTGATAGTACTAGGAAGGATCGTAGTTGTATTACGCTAGTCGGAAGGACCACAATTGGGCAACATAGGTAATAAAGACCATAGTTGATGGGCGACTGAGGTCAACAAGAACCTTGTCGGGTGACGACGGTCGGGGAGACGACAGTTTGAAGATGGTAGTTGAAGAGACTGTAGTCGGCGGGTGATGGAGCTCGGAGAGATCATAGTCGGCGGGCGAAGGTGGTCAAAAAGACCGTAGTCATGAGATGAATGTCAAAAAGATCGTAATCGGCGATGGTGGTCATGAGGAAAATCTAGCGATAATCGATGCCTAGGCGTATGTTTGGTGACACTTGGTGACCAAGCGAATGTCTGCAAAAGCTCGGTGACAGCCGGGGGCAGGGAGTAAATCCAACGTCAATTAGTGGCCAGGTGAAAATATGGTAACAATTGGTGGATGGGCATAAATCCGATGTCAATTGGTGGTTGGGCGAAAATCCAACAATAATAGGTGGCCGGCCATAAGTCCAGCAAGAATTGGTGGCCGGATGAAAGTCCGACTACAATCGGTAGCCAGGCATAAATCCGGCAAAAGTCCAACCAAAGTCGGTCGCCTGACAGAAATTTGATGGTAAAGACCGACTCAAATTGGTGGTCGGATGAAAGTCCGACTCAAATCATTTGATTGAATCATTTATCGAGTATTGAGTGTCTTACTAATGTTAGAATTTGGCAACCTTGGACTCATTAGATTGTCTCATCGAGCTGCTCGATTCGACTATAAGCACGCGACATTTGGAAATTATTTGATTGTCTAATTTATAGTTTGAACCTTCCAAATGTAATTTGGGTCCTTGATTTGGACCCATTTGGGATCGGATTGGATCAAATTTGGTGTCATTAGGTTTGTCCTTTCGAGATGTTCAGTTCGATTATAATTTTATTGAAATCAGTGTTCGGATGGTCCTAAATTTTCTCTTGGTGATTTTTAATTTACTTTGCGAGATTTGTGCTTTTTGTATAATTTTTAATGCTATATACGTAAATACCCATTCTTTTCTGTTAAGCTATCATAAATTTTTAAAATAAAACTATTAAAAAACTACTTGGAACAGACTTATAATGTGTGGAACAAATTTTAAGTAGTTTTATTAATATTTAAATTAGTTATTGGAGCATAATATAAAAAAGAATTAGAAATAAGCAAATCAGAAAAACTATTTGGTGCATTAAACAGAATGCACAAAATAATTTGACTTTTTAAGAATGCACCAAACTGTTTGGTGCAATTTAGCTTTTTAAGAATGCGGCTACAACTAATTTAAATATTAATATTGCTCCTTTTTAAAATTTGGTGGACATCAGTGTCTCATTCAGTGTTCAACAAATAATACTCACTGTTCAAAATTAATACTTACCAAGAAGCAAGGGCTTAGTGATTCCGGCGATGAAAGAGGCGAGCTTCTGTACTTCGCCGCCTCCACTTTGCCGTCCATCCACCGTCTTGATAATGTCTGTGAGGCCAATGGTTGCCAATGACGTCGGCTCAAACTCATAGGGAAGCCCTCCTTCCCAAAGACAGAACAACCGCCCGCCCCACCTCAACACCGTAGTATTTGCCACGTTCTTTAGCAATTTCAAACTCGGTTCTCTCATATGCGATTTCAACAGGGAAAAGAGCCCCGGGTGCCGGAACCGCCATTCCTCTGTTTTTGCCTCCCTCTCCTCCTTCGCCGCCGCTGTCTCCACATACCTTGCCGAATACATCACCACGCCTCCGCCAATGAAGCGAAAGGCGCGGAGGTATCCATGGCCGTCAAGGGGGTTGACGATGGATCCATGGTCATCAGAAATCATGCCAAGGCCATTGAGGTAGTATGTTCCGAGGGAAAACCCGGCAGGGAGGCTGCCTTCGGTGGCGACAAGGGGGAGGGGATCGACGGACTCGGCGGGTTGGGAGGAGAAGAGGCGCTGGTAATCTTCGAAGGCGGTGATGGAAGAATCGGGTAGACTAGGGGGAATTGGGGTGGTGGCGGAGGGGCAGGCTATACAGCGACGGCGAGGAGTGCCGGCGGTTGTGGAAGAGAAGAGCTTTGATGTCGTTGGATATGAAAGCGATGTGAAGAGAAGGCTAAGCTGGAAGAAGGGGGCTTGCATCTTCAATTATGCTCCACTGATCTGAATTAAACTCAAACAATTAGCTTATTCGTGCCATTGCCTGGTTATATTGTAGTTAGTGGCTGCATGACATGGCGCAGTGGATTGTTTTGAGGGTTATTTGGTGAGCTAAGTGTGTCATGTGAGGGGCGGAGCCAGGATTTTATTGTTATGGGGGCACAAAATATTGAAGTAAAAAAAAAAAAAAAAAAAAAAAAAAAAATTGAAGAAAAAAAAAAAAAAAAAAAAAACTCTCAATCTTTTCATTGGGTTAGGAGCCTGTAGCATCAGCGGTTTTAACTTTTTTTTTTTAAATCATTATAATCAGTATAAAAACATAAAATATATAATAAAGCAAAAAACTTAATATTGAGAATACTTTGCACAGATTCAAGTAAAGAATATGCAATCAAACAAAATGAAATCTAACTTGTATCTCATTTGTTTGCTCTCCTTTTATCTGTTGTTGGCTGAGAACGAACATAACTATTAATTAAGAAATATTAAGTTCAAGCCTTGCATAAATATATGAAATGCTCAAACATAAAAATAAAAACAGAATCTCAATTCCTGCATTAGACCTTTTGTGGTAATGAAACCAGAGGCCTTTCTTGAGAAATTATCAAATAGAAATATTTTGATCGACAAAAACGATGTAATTAAAATACACCAGATCGTTGCCATTCAATATCTTTTCCCTCCCTAATTGGTCTAGAAACGACTAATGGTATGATGAGATTCAAAATCTTTGCAAAAGGCAAATGTAATCAGTAATCACAATCGATAAGTTTTGACATAACCACGCATGATCTCTTTGATATATCATAAAAAAAATTAACTTGATCGGGCACGAATCTCAAGGCAAAATCAAAACGAAAATTTCAAAAATTAAATCCGGGATCACCTGAATTCTGATTTTAGCAAACTTATTGTCAAATTGAGCGTCTCGGAAATACAAACTCGACGACACAAAAAATTCGACTCAATCCAAGCCCAAATAAATCCAATTCAAGGACCCTAAGCGCCGTTGGAAAGTTTGAACCACAATTTGAGTTACCCAATGGTTTCTAAATATGACGTTCTTATAGTCGAATTGAGCGGCTCGACGAGATGAATCTAACGAGCCCAAGAGCATTGAATTCCAACATCATTAAGACCATCAAATGTCAGATGAATGGTCCATGATCAAAGGATTCAATAGCGCAGCGACTCACGAGCACGCGACAGCGGAGTCCAAGTCCGTCTTTCAGGTCATTGTCGGGTTGATTTCGGGTTTCTGGGTCAACCCAAACCAGACCCATTTTTGAAACGAGTTAAAAATCCGAACCCGAATCCGACCCGTTTGCTAACTGGGTCAACCTGAACCCAAATTTTTTCGGGTCTGGTCCGAGTCGGGTTCGGGTCGTGTCAAAAATTGACACCCCTAGTTTTGAGGTTTATTTGGTGGAGAAACTATTATGTACGGAGGCTAAACGTCATCCAGAGATCAACCAAAATAAGCCACACGTCACCTTTCGCTCAGTACCCGGCTCGGTACTGCTCCGTACCGCGGCTCGATATTGCTGACGTGGCGCATTTTGGTTGGTCTTTGGACAATAAATTGCGTTCGGCGTCCGCATAGAATAATTTCTTTGTGTCTCTATTTGGTGAGCTGAGTGTGCCATGTCAAAGCACTTGACATGTTTCAAAGTAGTTGGAGTTAAGCTCCTCAAGTAACTTTTGATAATGTTTATTTATTTCATATAAACTCCCTACAAATCTTTCATAACATCATATGAACATCTAATAGTAGTCACCATTAATGCAGTCTCTCAATTAAAACCTAAAAGAACCACTTCAGTGCTCCTGATGCCATAGCTCAATTAAGTTGACGGAACAAAACTTTTATAGTTAATTGGATTTACCAAAAAAACCCGACTAGGCTTATCTGGATTGGATGGCGAACGTGGTTGGGAACCCCCCAATTCATGTTCGATTCATCTGTCAAGCGGCGTGACTCTTTAAGTAGGGAGAAAATAAGTGAGCGGTTCAGCACTTGCAGAGCTGGTTGCCGCTAGTCCCGCCGAGGGAATAGTTACTCCGTAAAGTGCCTCAACTTCGGAGGTGGTAGATAGGGATATGTAAACCTTAAGTTCATGATTTTGGCACCGAAATGTACGTTTGTGTTCATGGAGCAATTAATCGAACACCATCACATTTCATGTATCAGTGCCTTCCATGTTTAGGAGATCAACATAATCTCAATGGTATATAATGACATATGTAAGGAATGTTTGTATTTATCCAGGTTAAATTAATCGAAGTCATTTAAAAATATGAATTTAATTCATAAATTTGTTGATTTTGTGAACTTATTTGGACTAGCAATAAATCAAAATTTATAATCATCTCTGAGCTCTATGATCCTCATGAAATCTCGACTTTTTTTTTAAAGGAACATATGATGTTTACTTTTAGCTACAAAATCTAGATTATAATTGTTGCGTCCTAGAGTACTCGTGGCGGTAGAGAAATATATAGTTTAATGTCTTAGCATTGTACGAAGATCCAACACACAATCAGATAAGTGAGAGGGTGTAGCGTTCATAAGAGACACCAGAGTTTTTACGTGGAAACCCCTAAAAAGGGGGAAAAACAACGGGGTTTGGTCCAGTTTGAATGAATCCACTAGTATTTGCAGTCGATTACAAATGAGGCCCTTCCTTGGGAGAAGGCATTGGCTTGATGTCACAAATGTATATCATATAAAGAGCATTACATGATGGGAGTTACAATAGATGTATTTGTTTTGTCGGCACGACCATAGTCGATAGAATGGAGGTCGGAAAGACCGTTGTCTGGTGATGGAGTCCGGAAGGACTATAGAAGACAACGGAGGTCGGAAGGACCGTCATCGGCAGGAGATTAGGGTCAGAAAGACCGTTGTCTGTTGATAGAGGTCAGAAGGACCATAGTAGGGTGACAGAGGTCAAAAGGACCGTAGTCGGCAGGAGACGGGGGTCAAAAAGACCTTTGTTTTAGGGTGGTACTCTGGTAGAACTCATGGCCTTACCTCAAGTGGTGGTCCGGCAGAAGTCTGTGTCTCGGGTGGTGCTCTAGCAAAAATTTAGGCCTCAGGTGGCAGTTCGACAGAAGTTTAGGCCTCAGGTGGCGACCCGGCAGAAGTCTGGGCCTCAGGTGGTGTCCTGGTGGAGCACAGGGCCTTAAGTGGTGGTTCGGCAAAAGTCCGAGCATTAGGTGGTGGCTTAATGAAGCACAGGGCCTCAAGTGGTGGTCTGGGCTTCAAGTGGTGGTCCGGCAGAAGTCTGGGCCTCAGGTGGTGGTCCTGCGGAGGCAAGGGCCTTCAGTGGTGGTTTTCCAGTGGTGGTCCGACGAAGCAACGGCGTCAGGCGGTGGTTCGGTGAAGGTGAGTGTCTCAAGTGGTGGTCCGGTAGAGCAACTACATCAGGCGGTGGTTCGGCGAAGGTGAGGGCCTCAAGTGGTGGTCCGGCGAAGGTGAGGGCCTCCGGCGGTGGTCCGGAGAAACTCCGACGGTGGGCCGTTGGTGGTCCGACAGAAGTCCGGCGATGGTCAAGAAGGAGCTTCTTCCTTCTCTTCCTTCTCCTCTACCTTCTTCTCTTCTTGCTTCCCTCTCCTTTCAAGAGGAATGTGTCACGACCCGACCCGAGACGAGACGGATCCCGCCCGCGCTGGATCGCGACGGAGCTGCACTAACCAGGATCTAGCTTTGGAATTTGGTTCGGAACTGAATCTTCCAAATAATTAATTCACACAGACTAACAAACACAGAGCTACTATGTATCATCAAATGCAGCGGAACAAAACATCTATCCAATTTCATTTCCTCAAAACAATCATCTATAGAACAGTACATGGCTTTCGACAGAAAGAAAGACAGAACAGAAAAGCCATGACTGTACAAAAACCAAAAGTACAAAAGTACCTATACTGATCAGACTCTGAAATCTAGTCCTGGACTTCCTTCCCTTTCCCAGAACCTGAAAACCACCAGAAAGCAAGGGTGAGCTCAACAGCTCAGTAAAGCAACAAACCTCCAATCAAAATCCTCAGAATCTCAAAACCAACACAGCAGACAAATCCGTACAAAATCGAAACAGATTCGGACAGATATCAAATCAACAAAACTGTACGGAAACGGAAGTTGTATCAAATCAGAAACATAACAGATCAGACACATCAGATCAACAGAATCAGAATCGTACAGATCATATCGGAACAGAACAAATCATATCAGAATCATATAGCAGATATCAGATATTTAATTAATAGCTAAATTCCCTGACACTGACTGAATCTCATAGGATCCAGGCCACTTATGCCTCCCTTTGTGCTCACGGCACCAAAACAGATCAGATCAGATGTGCTTATAGCACCAGAATACATATATAGTGCATATAGCACCTAAACAGATTGTTTCCTCGGATCCGGAACAGAACAGATATCAGATTTCATATTGAGCTCATTTCAGAATTCCCAGACACTAACTGAATCTCATAGGATCCAGGCCCCTTATAACTCCCTTTATATAGCATATACAGATAGCATATCAATTCAGAAGATTTCCGGACAAAACAGAAATTACTCAAAAATCGGGCAGCACAACGGCAGTATACAGAATTTACACAATTTTCCTGAAAATCAAAATTCACCAAATTCGCACAGAATATAGATATCAACATTTTAGAACATTTATCCTACTGCACAGATAATTTCCAAGTTCACAGAAAAATCCAGTCGACTAAAAACACAGTCGAATCAAAAATACCCGGACAAAAATCTAAAAAAAATAACCAAAATGTGCACACTCGGCACTTCAACAAAATACAGAAAGTTACGCGGTAGAAACTAAACCAGTCGGAAATTACGGACGAAAATCGCGAACAAAACTTAATTCCGGACAGATAATACCGCCAAACTCGACGGTTCTGAAAATTGAGAAAGTCGGATTGTGCCTTACCTTGCGTACAGCAATTTCCTCA